GAGCCGGGGCCTCTGAGCTGCACCAGGCATCAGGAGTGACTTCACAGAAGTCACCAAATGGGAGTGATTGCCTTGTGTTGTCATTTCCACCTCTGACAACTTGTAAGCCGTCAAGATACTTAGCTGCTACAGGGGTGAACCCTGTGGCTTTCAGAAACCAATTTTTGGTCATTTCAGACTGAGCTTTTTTTTCCCCCTCAATTTATGCTGCTTAAAATGACCAACAGTCTCCCGTGGGTACTGTGTTAATTACTATTTGGAAGTAATTCTAGGCTTCTCGATAGAGAGCTATCTGAGAAGGGAATATCCCTTCTCCGTTCCACGTAGCATAAAATACTCCCAAAAGTTTTCCATAAAATAAACTGAAGTTCAACTGTAAAAATAACATTGTTTTGTCTGTTCCATAAACATCTCTTTAGTCGTATGCAGACATTGTGGATAAAAATGTCGGATAATTATAAATGGTCAAGACTTTCTATAAATAGTACGTAAACACTGCATACAAATAGTATGTGGTTTACATTTTACAAATTAACCCTAGAAGAAAACAACACATGGCGAATGTTAAACATAAGAAGACTCTTCAGCTTCTCTGGCTTGGATTCCCAAGATTCAGACAGTTTATATTATGCATAGATGTAATTAAATAAAAATATAGATATCCATGAACTGAAATGATTAATCATTTATACCGTTCTTATATGTCATGAATTTTTATTCTGGCACAAATGCTTTAGTCAATATGGAGTTCAAAGCTATTTTAACTAATTTGGCTAATTTCTTCTTCAGTTTTAGTAAAAATGAAGTAGGTTGCTTCCGCTAAACGCAATTTTAAATGGTCTGTGTTATGAATAATTGATCTAACAGAAAGAATAACTCTAATTTACTTCTAATTATTACTGGGATAAGTGAATCAGAACAGATAAAAATAAAAAATTAATTCAGTTCCCTTCCAGCGCACTAAGTAAAGCAAACTGTATCGAGGCTTTTGTTAGTGATGAATTTTTTAAATGTGATGCTCTTTTTTTAATTGTTATTATTTTGGATGTTTTGCTTTGCCACTTTAATAAGAAATGCTGTGGGAAATTTCAGCATGACGATACTGCTCGCGTATGACTGGCACAACCACCCCACTGATTGCACTGCGAGAGGTTTTCATGCCGTGCCTTCTCCTGATCCGAGCAGGACTTCAGTACTTGCTGTGCTGTTGAAACACAGCCCAAATCCTGACAGGTGCCTCCCAAGAAGTGTGTGTGTTTAAAACCTTTGGGAGATTTGCGCATCATAAACACATCACACAAGGCGTTTTTCTGTCCAAGTTGCTAACCTACAGCCTAGTTGCGCTAACCCGGCTCTTCCCGGTGTCCTGGGGTCGCATCCTTCTGCGCCCTGGTCGTACCACTGCGTTAGCTCTGACTGTGCACTGTAACTGAATCGTAGACTATCTCAGGTTGGTAGGGAATAACTGAATTCAGCCCACAAATACTGAAGAATCCACAGCACACAAAGTATTTTCGGATGGCCACTTTCCAGTTAAGCACAAATTCAAAGAGGAAACGTCTCAAATGTTTCATTTTCCCACATTAACCCCATCTTTTTGAAGCACAACTTAGAGAAACAGGCCATAGGCTCCACGCCAGGTTTTGAACCTGGTTGCGCCCAAGGGCATTCACTCCGGTCACGTTTCCTGAACGTAACAGCCTTTCCACTTTTCCTGAACTTCCCTAGGTAACGGTGGGTGCCTGCCCACTGACTGATGGTGTAATTGGGATGATACTGCTTGGTTCAAAGCCTGCTAGCACAGCGAGAACCTTTCCAACTGCTCTTAAATCCAGAGGTAGTACACCAAGCAACTCTGATTTTTCATTTAAGGTACCGTGTTCTCTCGGAACCTGGATCCTTACATACCTCCTGCATTGTTCAACAGCGTCTAAACACACTGCAGGTTTTCCTCAGCTCTTTTATCTTTGGTTGGAACCATTTCTCTAGGCCCTTGTTGGGACTACAAAATTCCCACCAAGATCAAAAATAATTCTGCCTATGCACTAGCAAAGAAGTCCGGGATTTGGCCAGTCACAGTGGCTGCTACCGGGGTCGAATTTCCAAAACGCTATAAGATACTCGCCTTCTCCTCAATTCATTTCATTTTTAAACAGTGAATGCGAATCCTTGATTTCCTACGGGGTTTTTTTTGCTATCCAATCAACTCCCTTTCCTGCCTGGCAATATCATCCTTCCTCCTGAGCCGTGTGTGTTCTTGTCAGTCAGGAAGATTCTCTAACATCATTTCACAGTGTTTTTTATCCTCCGGCCGTGTGTTGATCTGCGCAACATGCTACCACCAGTCCCAAACCTACACCATTGAACAGGGCGATGCACCGGTGCCTGACCGGATGTTGCCAGCGCTCACAGGCGCTGTCTGAAATGTCATCTGCTCGGGCTGACCTTTTTTAGCCAAGCAACAAGGAAACAGAACACATTTGAAACTTCAGAAGCAAAGCCCAGTCCTGTTGAGCGTGCTCTCCCTATGCTGGCAGTACCTCCAACTGCTACGCACGTCTATGGTCACTCTCCTGTAGAAAAAAGCCTACACAAAAACACTGCCAAGTCCGCTAAACCAATTAATTATTTCATACAGATCTTCATTAAAGTAGGCTTCCACACATCCCTTAGATCTTTGGGAAACAAATTATTTTGTCTGCAGTAACGCTTCCGACACTCCTCCAGGCTGCCCCCCACACCCTGACAGGTTTGTCAGCGGAAATCCAGGTGCGCATCGTGGCTTACCCTGGAGGTGGATATTCTAACTCACGAAAATACTGCATTTCACGCTGTTTCCGTGTGTGAGAGTCAGCGTATCTTAGGAATTCCTGGACCTGTGACTTAGGCGTTGGGCTTTCTTGGCTTCCCTAGGAAAAGTCCAGCTTTCAAGACTTAACAGTAGATCCTGTTAAACTTCTCACTGTGTTTCTCTCTTACGCATTTAAGCTTGAAGCAAAAGTCACCCTTTTTTCTTCTACCTTCGCTGTGTTGTGCAGCAACCTACATACTCCTGTCGTGATAACTATTATTTTCTTATCTTTATAGGGATGGTTCTCTCTTGTCTTCATATGGAACATCTGTACTAGTTTTCTAGCAGTGATGTAGCTACCAGACGTGTGCTGTTTGCCACTGTGAGCTTGATGAGTCTCGGCTGAAACAGGCAAGGTTTGTTTAATTCAGCTACTGGGAAATGAAGCTGTTTTTTCAGACAGTCTTTGCTAGCAAACTGAGCAAAACAGGAACCTGAAAGACATTGGGATAAAACACCCCAGAAGAACACCTTAACCCATACTGAAGAAAAGGATCGTTGCGCATGTATCTTGTGGATCATTTCCTTGAACTAAGTTGCATGAGAAATTTTGTATAATAGCGAAGATTTCTAGGTGGATTAGTGCCCATGTTTACACCTTACACTTTGCAACACAGAGCTGGCCTCCGTGTCCACTGACAAGCTCCACTCAAGCGGACTGAGAAGCAGTAACACTACCACTACCATTTTCTACTAGAAACAGCAGCTTTGAATTCCAGCCCCACCAAGAAATGTTTGCTCGGCTGATGCGCTGTACAGGCCTGAGCGCTGCGTTCCGGCTGCATTCACTTGCCTGAGTATTTCACCTGGGATTCAGGAGTGAAAACAGTGAGCAGGGATGTCTGTAATCTGCTCTCTTACTTGCACTTGCCTGAATCCAGAGGAGTGGTGTGCTGAGCAGGCAGGGTCACCGGGACACAACATTTCAAGCTCTTTTTCTTACTCAGACTCGGGCACCAGGTAAAGGACAAACAATTCCTATTGGAGTGTGTGAGCTGGCGGAGACAGATTCTCAAAAGTGGCACAAAAATCACAGTCCAGCAGAAATGCCCAGGAAGAAACTTGCCCTTATCTGCACAGAAGCAGACCGCAAAGTCTGCTCAGTTACTACAGACAGTTGCTAAAATGGGGAGCTTACCTGTATTTTTAGGAGGTGCCACTGAGCAAGCCCCTGTCACCCTCTGGGTCTGAACTCTGCTGCCAGTGAGGTCTACAGACCTGCTCCTCAGGCAGAGCACGGCCTCTGAACGTTGTGCTGGCAACACTGGAGCCCCCAGAAAAGAGCAGCAGCAACACGTGTGTCTCAATGAGACCCGGGCCTCCAGCTCGCTGCCACGGACTGCGCTAAGCGTGGGTGTCGAGTCCCCGGTACCACGTACCACCTCGCTACTGTCAAGCGTTGCACACTGCGCTAAGCGCGGGTGTCGAGTCCCCAGTACGTGCCACCTCGCTACTGTCAAGCGTTGCATTCCCCCAACCTTTAGCTGTCAGGCGGTCTGACAGATATCCCAAGCAACAGGCTCACTGAACACATCAGCTATCAGTGCAGACACAGCGCAGTCCGACAACCGCTCTCCCTATCAACTTCCATTCTGATACACAGCTGCAGGGATGAGCCATTTGAGATTTTCATAGGAGTTGATCATACTCGCTCAGTTCTGGAAGCCACAGAGTGAACTCATACAGATAATTACCTCATCTTCAAAAGGATGAACCTGTCAACATACAAAATCGCTTCTTTCCTGAAATTGTCATGTCTGTGGGGTATAAGAAACGTATTCTTTCATTTCTTTAGCATCCACCTGTTTGATGGGCTGTGTGTACTCTTGATTCATATAAACACTACCCCTTCAAATTTGGAGTTCCAGAAACTAGGTGCCTCATTTTTTATGCTCGCACATTCACAATCATCCGAAAGAAAGATGCATACATAAATACATCTAGTGTTTACTAGAAACTGTCCACATGTGTGAGGCTTTTCGCTCAGCACTCTGCATAAACTGCAAATATTT